GCTGACTTGCTGCCCCCATAGTGGCCACAGCTAGTAGATGATACCTATGTCCCCCAGGTGAAGGGATTTGTGCTGCACCCAGAATGGGCATCTGGATGTCTGGCGGGGAAGGTGCTGGGACCAGTGCTCTGCTCCTTGCCATGAAGGGAGCTGTGGAGTTTGCCCAGCCAGCTTCCAGGGACAGGGGGAAGAGACAGGTATAATAAGAACCATGGCTCTTGGCCTGCGGGGTCAAGCCAAGATTCCTTGATATCTTCTCCATGTGTGGCCTTGGAGAGGGAACCACATGAAGGGAGGGACAGCCCCATGAGCCTGCCTGGAGCTGTGCTCTTGGTCCTGACCGTGGGGCCTCCTGTACGCAGTGGGTGCAGAGCTGGGGCCTGGAGGAGGAGGCCTGGTGTGAGGGCGCCTTTATGCTGTCTCCAGATGCCTGGCTATTGTCACATCAAGCCCCTGAGTGTGACTGGGGGCCTATCTCGTTGGGCAGGTGTTATTGAACCAGGGTTCAGATAACTCCGCAGGTGTGCAACACCTCTGCCTCCCCTGTGAATCTCAGGGCACCCTGTCATTGACTCTGAGGGCTCTTGCAGATGGCAATGCTCAGAACAGGGCTGGGCATGCAAAAGCACTCGGCAGACACCTGGTCCAGCTGCTCTGAGGGGGTGGTATCTGGGTGGTGCCCAAGGCCCACTGGCTGGGTACAGGAACAGTGCGGTCCCCTTGAGTGGCTTCCTTCTCCCGGCCTTAGGGTGAATCCACTCCCTCTCTGCACACAGGGCAGGAGCGGGGGGCACCCAGCATCTCTGCAGAGGAAGCTGCCTGTGTGTGGGGTTCCCCATACATGGGTGGTGTCTGGGGGCCTGCTGTTCACACTGTGTTTCTGACACCACCTCCCTGGGTGGATGGTCCTGCTGTGAGTCCCTGTGGGGCCTGATCACAGAGTTTGACCTTCTTCCCTGCAGCCACTGTCTCCACTGGGTGGTCAGATGGGATCCTTGATATTAGGGTGGGGGGATCCCCAGTACTTGGGCACTGTGATAACTCAGGATCTGTTGCTGTAATGAAATTGTGAATCCCACAAAAGGAAGGTGCCCCTCTACCCCATTTCCTCCATGACTGGGAGGCTTGGTCTGGCCCTGGCTGAGGTGGGTGTCCTTCCTCACTGTAGGGGGTTCCTTCTTGGATGGGGTTCTTGGGCAACCCTGTTCCTGGAGACCATGAAGTGAGAGCAGACTGCTCCTCAGCCCCTGAGCCTCCTCCCCACATACTAGGAGACACAGGTCAGCTGCCCAGGGACATACCCCCAAATCTGCTAGATTTGCTGGAATTCTAGGCTGCCAGGATTGTACTTCTGAGATCTGAACATCACTAGGATCTCTGACATCTGTCCTCAGCCAGGAAGGGAGATCAGAAAACACTCACCAAGTTGAAGTCCGGAGCACAGGAAGTGTGGGGGGGTGCTATGCAAGTAGGGGACAAGCAAAGAAGGTGGGAGGTTCACATGGCAGAGGGGAGGAGGACACAGGCTGCTGTCCCCCAGCCCCCAGCAGGTCCTGTGAGGCTTGTTTTCATGTCTGGGGGGACAGCAGGCCTGTTTGGACTCCTCTCTTAGAAGGTTTATGCTGAGGTCCCAGGGCTGGGCATTAGGGTATACCCATCTGGTTGGTCTGGATCCTTGGACCCATACTGCCTAGGGTTGGGGGATTGGAGGCACCAGCATTTCAGAGGGAGCCTGCTACCATCTTCCCTGTAGCCACATATCCCAGAAGATGGGAAACAGCTAGGCTCCGAGGGAAAAATGGAGGCAGAAGGGAGGGCTGCCCAGCCCACAGAGCAGAAGCCAGGTGGACCACTGATAATGTTAAAAAACAGGCCAAATCAAGAGGAAAGCACCCTGGGCACCCTGGCTACTTTAAGATGGCCCTACCCCCTGGCCTGCCTGTTGGATGGGAGGTAGCCACACTAGAGGACCGAGGGTGCGGTCCCTCAAAAAGAGACAGGGAGTCCTGGGCTGCTGCCCGGAAGAGGGTATCTAGGAATTTCAGGGAGGCCTCACACCCCAGGAGCCAGTCCGTATGCTACCTTCTCTGAGTCCCAGGGCCAGGTAGAGCAAGGGCAGCCCCTCACAGTGGAGGCACACCATGTCCTGCAGGAAAGGGCCCTGGGTGACAGTGGCAGGTATCCCTTCTGAAGACACACAGCTGCAGGGCTCCCGGACAGGGCATCTTGTCCCCAGGAGGCCAGGGCCACCACAGACCCCAAAGGCCACTTTCAGGCAGTGGTTCTAGGTACACAGACTCAAGGCATGGCTGGCCCTGGGATGCATCTGGGTCTGGAGCCCTGTGTCAGTTCTGCAGGCACAGGATGGGATAGGTCAGGAAGAAAGGCTTGGAGGATAAGAGCAAGAATGTGGTGTGTACGCTGGGTGAGCTGGCCACACGGAGGCCTTATGAGTGAAGGCCCAGTGATGGAAGCTGTGAGGGCTCCCTGCTGGACTCCGTAGGAGCTTGGCACACCAGAAAAACAGCAGCAGCTTGGCACAGACATGGCACTGCATCTCAAAGAAGTGGTGAGTCTGGTCTGGATTGAGGAGGCTTCTCACACACGGCTCCTTCCTGCGACACTCTGCACCCACACTGGCTGTCTGGTCAGTTCTGCAAGCCCCAGACTCCTGCCCACCACAGGGCTGGGCTTACCAAAAAAGGGGGCTTTCCTTAAGGTTTTGGCCTTCAGTGGCCTCCCAAGACCCCTGCGCCCACCTTGTGCCTGATCTCCGTGTCTGATGGGCCCTTTCCTCAGCTCCACACGCCTACAACACGATGTGTTTACTCGCTATCACACCGCTGGATGGCATCCTGTGCTCTGTGGTCTACAGCTGCACCCAGTCTGGCTCATGAGTGTTTGCTGAATGAATGAGCAATGGCCTCCAAGAGGGAGTCTAGACCCAGGGGATAGCAGGGTGGAGGAATCCATTCCAGCCTGGCACAGAGGGAGGTGTCCAACCATCCGCTGTCAGCCAACGAGGCCTCTCCAGGGAGATGTGGTAGTGCTGGACCCCACAGGGAAAGAGGGCCTTGCACTGGGGACCATCCCCATGGGAAGACTGGGTGGTGGGAACTTTACGGGCTCTTCGGTAACCCTGTGGCATTGGTGGAGGAGCCTTGGCCCAGCTGCTGTGAGAAGGGACACCCTCAAATCTCCTGGTTGCTTAGGAGAAGGAGTACAGAGCCTAGTACTGCCCAGCTCAGGAACTTTGGTCGGGACTATGGTAATTTGCACACATTTCCCCTGAACCCCGCTCTGCAGCGCCTCCCAACTTTGTTAATGGAAACCTGGTGATCCATGACACGAGAGTGGCAGACATCTGCTCCCGGGTAATGTGGTGGTAATGTACATATCGATGATCAATCTGCAGATTTGCAAGAGAGGCATAAAGTATTTAATTATAATTGCGTTGGGCAAGGCTGCGTAGTGGCAGCGACATTTGAATAGGTCACAGCCAGCCCTCACCCCTGTTATGTTGTTGGTATTAAATGCCATTCACTCCAAGGGCTGGGAACATTTCTGAAATCGCAGGGTATCACACGCTGGCAAATTGAAAATGTCCCTTCGCTTTTAAAAACATGATTGATATCCTTTGCAAAGCAAATGCTGCACCTCAGAGTACATAGAGTCTGCCAGGTGCCGCCCCTTGCCTCCTCCAACTGGCTGCGCAGGTGGTGTGTGGCCGTGGTTGTGTGTGCGTGGAGGGGATCGGGCACTAAGAATCCCTCCTGCTCTGAGGCTGCAGCCTCCAAAGAGTCTGTCCTGTTTACAGCAAAGGGTTTTTCTCTTTCAAGTCGGGCTTAGAACAAAGTACAGAAATAAAGTAAGAACCAAAAAATGAAATGCAGATTTTATTTGCTCAGTTGGCAGCAGAAAAATATATCTTTGGACAGTCCCTGTGCCATACACCTGTGTATAGTACTATCTACATCACATCACCATCTAAATCGCGTCTAGTATAATTTAGATCGATGCTTTTAGCACATCTGACAAAAGGACATAAGTAGGACTGCAGAGAAACACAACACACACAGAACAGACAGACACACCCACCCACCCATGTGGCTGTCTGACACCCTGAACAGGCCCTGCAGGGCAAGCTCTGCAGACCCCATTCATAAAATGGGCTCAGAGCGGCAGCAGCTGTCTCCAGGTCTGACACGTGGGCCACATTCATCTCTGGCTGGCACAGGGAGCCCATCAGAGTGCTGATGTTCCCAGCAAAGAGTTCTGGAAACAGGCAGTTGGCATTTGCAAAGGAGAGGTGTCTGCACCCCCTCACTTCTGTTTCAGCAAACAGCATGGAGGTTGGCCCTTCTCCTGCAGAACTAGGATGGCTTCTGGCATAGGCCAGGTCTGGAAGCCAGGGAATGGGCATCTTACCCTTGTTTTAGTAAACTTTTGTCAGGAATGCCTTCTTTCCTCTTTCCAAAACAACTAAAGCAACATGCAGAATCTCTGTTTACAGGTGTGCAAAGGAATACTTGGAGTTAATGAAATGTCAGGGCTTCTGAACAGAAACACCACCAGGACCAAGTAGGTCTCTCTGCTTGGCTCCTGCCCGTCTCAGCTGCCTGTCCACCTTCACGCACTCCCAGCCTGTTTTTAAGAGTCCGATGAAGCAAGACTGCAATTTCCAATCCAGACAGCCAGCCTCGCTGGGTGTGTTTTTGCCGCTCACGGAATTAACCAATCTTTGTCACCTAGCGGATCAGATTAGGTGTAATCCATACTAATGTTCAAATTAAGTCACGGAAAGCAATTAACTCTGCAAAAATGTGCTCGTGAAAAATGATAAGGTTGGTCAAATAGTTTCACAGTGTGTAATTGTGTTCTTAAAACTGCCCGTCTAACTGCCCATCTCTACGAAGTAATGAAATCATTTACATTTCAAATGGAGTATACTTACATTGGCTGCTCACAATCCTGTCAACAGCCTGTTAGGGTGCCTACCTTTTTAGGAACCAGCCCAGATGGAACGAGCCCCTACCTCTATCTCAGAACAACCAGAAGACTAGACTTTGCCCTAGTGTCCCCCGCTAATTTGGGCCCCTCGTTCCCACCCTTCCTTGTTTCCTGTATAAAAACTGCAAGGGACTTTAAAAATTGTCACCAAAAATATTTTGCCAATGCACAAGAGAAGGTCATCTCTTCCCACTGATCACATCATGCAAACAGGGACCCCATCCTAAACCTGGGGGTAACTGCCCTTCATGGGCAATTAATGTCTGTCTTTAAGTCTTCTGTTAGCTTTCTGCACAGGGAAGGAGCTAGCCAGCTTCACTAGCTGCTTACGGGACACACCAACAACTTCGGGACAAGGCTATTTATGCAGCCACATCTCACAGGACCTGGAAGGAAATGCTACCCTACTCCAGGGAACATTCCCTTGGTTTTTCTCCTCAGAGCAGGTGCTCCATGAATCCACGGCAAACCCTAAGTTCAGGCTGGAACCAAGCGGGTTTCCCTGCAAGGAACTTTGTCTGAGTGGATAGTTGCAGTGTCTCAGCAAATATGTCTTATGAGACAGTCTTCTATGTTCCCTCCATCCTGGGGTGTGCCCTGGGAAGAAGTGTGAAGGCAGTGATACCCGGGCTTCTGGGTTCCGGGGCATTTAAGTCTGTTTCCGGGGGAGGGTCTGGACCACCGAGGGCACAGGGGTTGGCCTCAGCATGGCCTCACGCTGCTCAAAAGCAGAGACTCATTTGCTGGGGCTCCAGCGAAGGGCCTCTGCCCTCCTGCGTGTGACAGGGTGGCCCGAAACCTGGGAAGGGGTCTGGTGTAGACAGGATGTAGTCGATGCTGAACTTGATGTCCCGGCGGCTGTCATTTCCCAGGGACGACGGGCCAGCGGGTGCTGCGGCCTGGCGGCAAGGAGCGTGGTCCAAGGCGGGTTCTGGTGGACCCGGGGGTCCCTCTGCGCTCCCTGCTTTGGGCCGCTCACACCGGGGGCCGCGTCGCCTCCGCCGGCGCCGGCGGAAGTTCCCGTTCTCGAAGAGGTCCAGCAGCGACTCGCAGCCGCCGGCGAACGTCCAGTAGTTGCCCTTGCCCTTGTCCTGGCCCTCCGTCCGCGGCACCTGCGCGGGGGGCGGCGGGGTGACGGTGGCCCACGCGCGCAGGGCGAGCGTCCCAGTGTCACCAGGGACGACACGCCCGGGAATCCCCAAGCCAGGACCGGGCAGGGGGCGGGTGTGGGGGTGTATGGGGGTTCTCACCTTGACGAAGCAGCTGTTGAGCGACAGGTTGTGGCGGATGGAGTTCTGCCAGGCGCGCTGGTTGGCGCGGTAGTAGGGGAACTTGCGCATGATGAAGTCGTAGATGCCGGAGAGTGTCACCCTGCCCGCGGGGCTCTGCTGGATGGCCATGGCGATAAGCGCGATGTAGCTGAGGACGGGCGACAGACACGCGCTGGTGTCACGGGGGACACGGGCTGGCGCACAATCTGTACCCGAGGTCCCCAGTGCTTTGCACCCATGCTTTCCCGGTCCCTGTCCTAAAGAATCCAGCCCCTCTTCCCTGCTGTGCCCCGCAGGTCCCGGAGACCGAGTCCCTTCTGTCCCCAAGCCCCGCCAGCATACGGGGTAGTCACCTGTACGCGGGCCGCGTGAGCCGCTTCTCCTCGTCCGAGCTGCCAGCGGGGTAGTCGTCGTTGTCGTCGTTGAAGCAGTTGTAGGGGTACTGCGAGCTGTCGAACATCGCGGAGACTCCTCCACGCAGCCCGCCTGCTCCGCGCAGCAGCGTCCGGGCACAGTCTGCACCCAGCTGCTGAGTCCCGGCCGCCGCCCCGCCCGGTCCTCTCTCGTCCAATCCGAAGCCGGGGAGGCTCCAGCGCGCGAGCTAGCAAGCGGAGCTCCGAGCTCGCTCCAGTGCGATGGGTGACCTGCGGGGTGGGCCGCAGGGGGCTCCCAAGGGCAGGATGGCCTTGCCCGCGTCCGGAGCCCCCGTTGGGCTCCTGGCAGGCTCCGGAACACTGAGGTTTGTCTGTTTGCCCTGGGCACGCCCTGAAAGACGTGCGTTTCTCAACTGTACGTGGGTCCCGGGGGTGGAGTTAGGGGTCGCTCCCCAGCTCTGCCTCTGCTTACCTCAGATGGGGGTCCAGCCTCAGGCGGAGCAGGGCCAGAGGCTCAGCACCCCCGTCCCTGCTCAGAAGTGGTGTCCCCAGGGGCGTTGGCCTGCCCTGGGGGAAGGGTCTGCCTCCTGGGAGGTGGGCTTTTCATCAGGAGCCTCCACTGCGCTGGGCTTCTGTCTCCACCGCTCCGGTCAGGGTGGGCAGGTGTGTGCAGGAGAGAAGCCATCTAGCCGTCAGGGAGGGAGGTGGGGCCTGAAGACCATGGTTCCACAGAGGAAGTGCTTTCCGATAACCTGTAAAGGTGTGACAGAGCTGTGTCCATGAGCCTGGCCCGGCAGGAAGCCTGTGACAGTTTCTTCTGGGACACCCCTTCACCCACAGAAGTACCCTGAGCTCTGGGGTGACCTCTGCTTCATCTAGCCTGTTGTTCCAGGAGCGCCTGGTACTGCCTACTGCCTGGGTAAAGAGGGGCACCCACCTTCCTATCTTGGTATGCTGGGGATCCCCAGAGATGCTCGGCAAGCCACCGAAGTGCACCTGCCATCGTCCCTCTGCTTTGGGCCTGCTGGTTTCTGCTCTGTGCTGAGGCTCACTCAGCACCAGAATTGCCCTCTCTGTCAGAATTCAAGGGCTGGGATGTGGGGATGTGAAATGGCCCAGCCCTTCTCAACACAGTTTGGCAGTGTCTTAAAAAGTAACATGGAGCCAGGCATAGGGATGCACAACTATGCTCTCAGCATGTGAGGCAGGAGGATTGCAAGTTCATGTCCAGCCTGGGCAATTTACAAACTTAGAGAGACTCAGTCTCAAAAACAAAACAAAACAAAACAAAACAAAAAACCTAAGATGTAGGTCAGTGTAGAGGCCCTGGGTTCAACCCCCAGCACCACAAAAACAAAACAGTACCAAACACTCAAACATGCAATAGCCATGTGACCCAGCAGTTACAGTCCCTGGCATTACCCAGAATGCACCCGGGCTGTGTTCACACAGACACCGGCAAACCAGTGCACAGAGCTGCTCTGTTTGTAGCGTTCCCAAATCAGACACAACCCAGATGCCCTTCACAGGGGAATGGTCAGGTGAACTTGAGTGTCTCTGGCATGGAACACAACTCAGCAAGGAGAAAGAAGGGGACTCTTGGTGCACAAAACACAGGAGAATCTCTAAGAGGATGAGAAGCCAGTCTCAATGGTTTACATACTTTGTGAGTCCACTTATAACACATGCACAGTACCCCAGGTAGTGGCTGCAGGGCCTCTATGACTCAGTTTCAATGATCCCACCTTATTTCCTCACCAGACATAGGCTCACCCAAATCCAAGCAGAGAAAGCAGGCTGCCTCCCACAGGAGCGTAAGGTCTTGTGAAACGAGCAGGTGGGATGGGTGTGGCTGTGCAATACTATCTGGAAAAGTGCGATGTGCCACAGCAGTCTAAGGGGGTGGCGGAATTAGAGAGGGAGGATGAGAGGGAACAGAGTATTCCGCACAGAATGAGCCAGGAGACCCCAAACTGCAAGATACACACGGAAATCTAATGTGCGGAAGGATCAGCAGCTGGCAAAGTCAGAATCAACAGTTGGAAAAGGAATTTTCAACTGATAAAACACATCTCATAGAACAAGTTGACAAAAATTTCACGGTTTAAGGTAAGGATGCTCAGTCCTAGTCAGAGATACGACCTGTTCGGTGATTGTCTTCTCACTTGGTGTGTGGGGGTCCTTTGAGGGCTGGAAGAGCTTGATTCTGAGGAAGTCTAGTTTACCTCTTTTTCCTTTGGTTGCCTCTATTTTCGGTATCATATTCAAGAAGTATTTGCCAAATTCAAGGTCATGGAGATTTTTCCCAGTGTTTTCTCCCAAGTTTTGCTACTCACCATACAGTATAGAGAGAGGTACGTGCATCTCCTTGCCTCAGCCTCAGGGAAATCACCTGGCACCAAAGGACAAACACCGCACAATTCCTCTTACTCGGGGTCCCTGGAATGGACACCTTCATAGAGGTGGAGATCAGAAGGGAGGTGATTGGGGCTGGGGGATGAAGGAAAGAGACAGAATTGGTAAGAAACATGGAGCTCTTGTTGGGGATGGTGAGAACTGGGGGTTACAGGTAGTGGTGTTGAGAACAGAGCATCAGGGTCATGTCAAGAGCACTGAGTCCTGCACTTACAGATTGTCAGCACGACAAACATTAGGCAAGGTATACTTTACCACAATAAAAACACTAAAAAAAGGGTTGAGAATGTTTAAAGAGGTAAATTAAAACATATTATCCATTTAAAAACACACACAAGAGGAATGAAACAAGAGTAGTGGACCCCAGAAACTATTGAGGGAAGGGTACTGTGGTCTCTTAGAGTGAGAGACCAGGGTGCGCTGCTGGGTCACAGCTTTTCCTGGGCCTGCTGAGGAGGAGGATGAGGGAGAGGAGCCCAACTTAGGGGAGATGCTGGGGGTGTAAGGTAGGCCCCACACACCTATGAGCAAGTCGGGGTGGGTTCACGCTAATGGCCCTCCTGCAGCTCCATGATTCTCAGGAGGAAGGGTGCCAGTGAGGGTCAAATCTGTGGAGGATGAGGAGGAGTGGAGGGAGTCCTGAGGTGGCAGGCAGGGCACAGACACGGAGACAAATCACCTAGCAAACACCTGACCTCAGCACAGGGCCAGGCTGTAGGGGAATGCAGCCTGAAGTGTTGGGAGCTTCACCCTGCCACAAATGTCCCCTGAGGGGAAGGACCTGCAACAGTGCCAGGCATGAGCATCAGTCAGTTCCCTACTGCCATGTCCTGAACAGGAACCCCAGAGTCCAGTCTGGAACTCACAAGATGTGACTTAACAGAAGTGGATGAAGCATCCAAGAGAACGTGACCAGTGTAGGAGACAGTGCAGAGCCAGCTGGTGATAAAACATAGCCACAAAGGATGCGCAAGGCTGAAGATGAGCCGCATGAGGTCGGATGGGGACCCCGGCAGAGCCATGAAACATGTAGGTGTTATGAATGAAAAACTCAGTAACAGAGATGAGTGTGGCCTGGAAGCTCGCTATAGGAACCTCTACACTGAGGGGATGTGTCAGTGAACCTGAAAACAGGCCCCTGAACCTCTCAAGCAGAATACAGAGCAGGCAATCCCCTGTGGGGGACAATGTCAGGAGATGGAGCAAGCAGGGACTAGGACCCAGGAGAGAAGCCGGCAGGAACAGGACAGGGAAAATCATGCAAAGGCAATAGGCTAGAACTTCCTCAAACTGGTGAGCAGCCTCAGACCACAGGTCCAAGCTCAGAGCACAAGTTGTATAAATACAAATCTGTCCCTGAACCCCAACCCTGTACAGAAATTCATCAAAATAGATCCTTGATCTAAGTATAAAACTAAAATAAAAATGGATCAAACATCTAAATATTGAAATAGAAACAAAGTATTGGCAGATAAAATAGGTAAAACTCTTGAAGACATAGGCAAGGACTGTCCAAACAGAGCTCCAGGTGTATAACAAATAACATTAAGAATCAAAAAATGGGCGAGGTATGGTGGCACACGCCTGTAGTCCCAGCACTCAGGAGGCTGGGGCAGGAGGATTGTTGTGAGTTCGAGACCAGCCTGAGCTACAAAGTGAGCTCAAGGCCAGCCTGAACTGCATAGTGAGAGCCTGTCTCAAAAAGACAAAAAAGGGGGCTGGGGATTTAGCTCAGCGGCAAAGCGCCTGCCTGGCAAGCGCAAGGTTGTGAGTTCGGTTCCCAGTACCGGAGAAAAACAAAAAACAAAAACAAAAACAAAACAAAGACAAAAAAAAAGGGCGGGAGGAATTGTATCAAATTAAGCTTCTGCACAGCACAGGGAACAAGCAACAGAGTGAAGAGACAATCTACAGAATGGAAAAAATTTTTCTCCAGCTACAACTTGGATAGAGGACTAATACCTAGAAAACACAAAGAACCAAAAAAAATTAGGACACCCCCCCAATAAAAGACTCAATAAAAAGTGGGCAGCTGAAATGAATTGACACTTCTCAGAAGTACACATGGCCAATAAACACATGAAAAAAATGTTGACCGTCTCGGGCCGTTAGAGAAATGCAAATTAAAACAACGCCGAGATTCCATGTTACTCCTGAAAGAATGTCCCTCATCAAGACATCAAATAATAACGAATGCTGGCAAGGGTAGGGGGAAAAAGAAACGCTTCTACAGTGTTGGTAGGAATGTAAACTAGCACAATCACTATGGAAATCAGTGTGGATATCCCTCAAAAACAAAAAAAAGAAATTCCATTTGACACAGCATCTCCCCTTCTGGATCTCTCCCCAAATGAGTTAAAGGCATTGCGTTGTATCACAGTGATACATGCCTGGCCATGTTTATAGCTCAATCTTGGAAGGGGCTATATAGCCATCAACAGATGGCTGGATAAGGGAAGTGTGGTCCTCACAGTGGGGTACTACTGTGACATAAAGGAGGATAAACTTGAGTCACCTGTAGGAAAGAGTATGCACGTTGAGACTGTCATGTTAAGGGAAATTGATTGGACACACACGTTTAAATATCACACGGTTGCTCTTTTACGAGAAACCCAAAGTGTGACTAAATTAAAGAGCAAAATAAAAGAGAGACAGCAAGAAACAGGTTTTCTGCAAAATGAAAGGAGACCGAGAGGTGCAAGGAGGGAGAGGAGGCGGAGGGGAAGAGGAAGGAACAGGAATTACCATGTGTCGTGTACACATCCCGACTCCCCGTGATGGATGTAATCGTTATGCACTGCAAACCTGTACTGAAAAACTGTAAAGCTCCTAGAATGACCTTCAGTTAGGCAAAGATTTCTCTGATATGACACCGAAAACATGATACATAAAAGAAAAAGCACCCCAAAA